GTGCCCGTGTTGTGTAAAATTACAGGCAAAATAATACAAAAGGGAAATGAAAGACTACTAAAAGCAAAACATGACATCTTCATAGAAAGTAAAGCATCGCACATTAGGGGAGAGACTCCAGGATCTCAAGAAAAACTGTTTGCTTTCTCTCTGATTGTCTTTTTTCAGTAAAGGGCAGTTGGGGGAGGAAGAGAAAAAAGTGCTCAGCTGAGTCCTTTCTCACCTCCTCCAGGTAGTTGATGTCCCAGGCTCGAAGCTCACTGTCTGCAGAGCCCGTCAACAGCCTACTCTCCTGGCTCAGCAACACCATACCCCAAACCTAACATACACACACACATTTAAAACAAAAACATCGAGTCATCTTAATAATCTAGGAAAAACATTAAAATTCCAGTGGAAAGTCTCTTATAATCCCCATTTCCTTCCAGTGAAAGCAGCTAGTCACAAGAGCTCCACTATATGGACCAAAATACTGCACAGTACACCTACAGGAACTGCTTGGCCATGGAAAATCCTGCCATGAAGCTCCCAGTTCACAGTTTTTGTTCTGAGGTTAATGCCAGAGAAGGTTTGGAACCACACTGTGCGCTGCAGCTTCAGTGTGGGTGATATTACCTCAAAATGCTATCACAAGATGTCAAGGAAATGTGCAATAATGATATTTCTGACACTAAAGAACAAAAAATACTCAATAAATGCTGTATCAATGAGTGCAGCTTACAGCCAGCAGTGTTTATTAGTGCAAACAAAAGAAAAGGTATTAAACATGCTGTTCTTGTGATGAGTTACTGTCATTAGAGATAGACTACCCAATTCAAAATGCGAATCTACTGCCAGCAGCAGCCACATTATAGCCCAATAGCAGTGACACAGCATTACATGCAGTGACGCAGCATAAGTCAAATGTAAGCACAAAAGCAGGCCAGCTAGTGTTTTCTCTGGTACTATGTGGTCGACCTTTTTAACCAGTTACTTAAATTCCTCCTTTACCACCAGGAGATTGCATCAGTAATTTCCATCCACTGTTTGTGCTTCTTGTTATATGGAGTGTAAGTAGCAAGTGCTTCAGTGTTGCTCAGGTGAGTCATTTGTTTAATGTTGGGTTGCACATCATCAGCTGTTAGCATCTCCTCCTTCATAGCCTGGTTGTACTTGATGGTGTGTTTTTGCCTCAAGTTTGTTGTTTCCATCGTCACCAGGAAGCGTTTTCTTGCACATTTTGTAAAGCATCACACTTTGTTAGAGGTTGCTGAAGTAGCTCCCTTTTACAAAATCATAATCGTGGCAGAAGGCTAGAATATGATTCTGCTGCAACCTTCTTCCTATTAAAAGGGAGTTTTTTTCTTTCCATTCTTGGCAAGTTCAGAGGAGGTTGTCTGATTGTTGGGGTTTTATTGTGAACAATATCTGGCCCAGCCCTAGTCATACATGTGTGGAATATCTAGAAGGGAAGAAATTCCACAAACGGACTTGGACTAAATGCAGAGAAAGAAGCATCTCACCTCACTGCGATGGCCCACCATAGTCTTAAAGCAGTGCTGTGTGTCCAAGTCCCACCACTTGACAAAACTGTCTTTGGAGCTATACGGTGGGCAGAGCACACAATTAGCTTTTCAAACCTCCATTTCAAATATACAATCCAGTAGACGAGACACAATGCAAACATCACGGTGTCCTACCATGTGACGAGGAGGTTCTTGTCTCTCAGGAACAGGGCCTGCGTGATGACATCTTTATGGCCTCTCAGCCTGTACAGCCCACACTCATTGATGATGTCCCACACGATCACATCTGTGTCCTAAGAGAGGAGTACACAGTTAATTGAGGTGATTCCTTGCAACTCACAGTCCATCTTGTAAAATAAAAAAGCATTTTTAAAGGCAAAGTAAACCACTCAACAAACAAACCTCCAATTTATCTTCCATTTATATTAACACCTTTATTTTCGTGTAACTGTTGTCACTTTGATGTCGAGTTTAGAATCACGTCAACACTTAACAAAACCAAGGAGCAACCTGCCACACTCACCTTTGAGCCAGTAACAAGTCTCGCCCCGAGTGCATCATAGTGTATGACGCTGACTGCAGACTTGTGGCCGTTGAAGGAGACGTTGCTCTCACCGTTCAGCAGGCTGAAGATTCTTACTGCACCATCTTCGTAACCCACGGCAATATGAACTCCATCAGGTGAAGGGCAGAGAAAGGTCACCTCATGTTTCTGACCCTGCAGGATCAGGACCTACACACACAGAGATGACAAGAATAAAGATAAGAACAGATAAAATCTGAAGGGAAGTGTACCTGGATATGAGTTGTCGCATTGCTATAATCACCTTCTCTCCTTTTCGAACATCCCAGATGAAAACATGTTCACATGCAGCCACAGCCACATAGCGCCCCTTCTCCCCTCCTCGAAGGGTCACATACGTGATGTTGGCTTTTTGGCTGCCAATGACCCCAAAAACGGCGCTGGCAACATAGCGCAGGTACTGCTTGGTCAAACCCATGACCAGCAGCTAAGGTGATGCTGAATCCTGTTTCACACCAGAGCACAGGAGAAAAATTTACCTTTTACGGAAGAAAAACAAAGACTCGGTCCTTGATTGGCTCCACCTGATTCTACATAATGTCTGAATAAATTTAAGACAAGTTCAGAGTTCAGTATGTTCTGCTAGATATTGAAGTCTACATTTTCATGAAGATAATACAGAAAACTGTTTTATTATCTTTATAACACTGTTTGAAAAGTTGAACATTACACCCACATGTTTTTAGTTATCATGTCATCCTAAAGTGGCTTTGACGCCTCCTGTGCTAAATGTTCCAATATAGTGTGGGGAAGATCGTGAATAGTTTTTATATGAAAAACCAGTTTCCAGATACAACAGGAGGCATAAACACTGCTGTAAACATTAACCATTTTAAACTTTGGTACTAAACCACATTTGCACAATCAGGGCACCCCTCTCTTTTTTAAGGACCTGGCTTTCTGTTTGTGCAACTGTTGGCAAATGTTGCCACAAAAATGGAAACATCATTGACAATGCATGCTTTCCATCATGACAACAAAGATGAAATACATTGTATATCAAATGTACCCAAGAGTCCACATATTAATAGATATTTACAGCAATAAAATGACGAATCTTTATCTATATAGGATAGTTTAATTTGTGCTGTAATTTGTCCCTGCTATCTAGAATATATATAATCTACCACGTATGCGTATTAAATATATCACAGTTTTCAAAAATAAGGTTTTCTGTTTTATACCAGCATAAGACACTACATACTTAATACATGTCTGATCTTAGTGTGCTATTCCGTATTAATGAGGTGTAAAGTATTTTCGTATTGTTTATAATGTGTCGAACTACGGCCTTTATTTCTGCAGTGTCGATTCAATGTTGTTGGTCTATTCCTTCGTTTTATGTCCTTTCCTCATAATTTGCAAATCCTGCTTTAAAATAACACACCAAAAATACGTACTACTTAGTAAACGTGTAGCAAGGTATAGCACATCAGTCCTCGAAGATACGGGTACGTTCGTTTTAGTACACAAAACTGCAGGCAGAGTTGCCGGTTTACGCTTCTGGCATTTGACTCAACACGACAACGTCAACCTCCGCCCGCCCGGAGACAAATTTGACCCAAATCGAGTGTGCCTAAGCATGATAACCCAGTTACTAGACCCACGTGGTAAAACAATTCTTGGATAATTGTACTTAATAAAAGTAACCATAACATAAATGTATATCTCTAAACGTTATATACAACATTTGCGTTTGTTTCGTCAATGTAAAGCGTCTATGTTGGTCCTCTTACCTTTGAAGTGTGGCAACTAGCAACTACCTTGAAGTGCCTGACTTCGGCTGCTGTTTCAGACCCAACCAATCTATCACAAATCGTTACTAAAACAATACCATGCAGTGCTAGTTTGCCTATAAAACTATGCACACAGATACAGTCTATTGGAAATATATATATTTTTAAATATTTAGATAGGATTTTAGCAGTGAACTGCGAGTCAAAGAAACCTTTCTGTTTCTCTGTTTTCTCGATTGCGTTCTTTCTATTGCTTTTGACTGCAATACCAAAAAAAGACATTTTATACATTTTTGAATGTACAGTCCAAAATAAAATAATATATTAGGTCTTTACAGATACTCGTTTTTGTTTGTTTAATTTTTGGACAGAGACGTCTGGCTTAGAGCCAATGATTTTTGCGGTTTACATCAATAAAGTGACTCCACAGTGATCCCTAAGCAACCATACCGGAAGTGTTTTTTTAAGTCAGCTGACTAGCACCGGAAAAATAAAACGATCTCGTGAATAGCACCGGAAAAGTGTTTGTCTAACCTATACAAAACAAAAGCGTGTGCTATTTTAATAGGAGAGTATAGACATGACAGAAAACTATAAAGAACAGAGTAAAAGTACATTAAACATACTCTAAAAAATAGTTGAAAGGTCAGAATAATCATACTCACATGGCATTGTATTTCGTTTGTAATTCCAACATGTAACACATACATGGGACCGCCACTGTAGAGAGAGGGAGAACAGACTTTCACTAACTACTTGATAAGGATAAAATTAATGAAACACATAATTAATGGAGTCCTAACTGGCTTTTTCTAAAGGAGGGACTAAAACAGAAGAAATTCTTTAACAAGGTGCATTTGTACCCTATTAAAGGAAAGGTATATGTTTTGGGTGTTTTTTAAATGCAGGAGGTCACTCGATTTGTTTAATCCAAGCACCTAGCAGAAACGTTTTTTAATCATCCACAGCACTTTATTAATGAAACTTGAGAAATAAATGTAATAAGTGAGATCAAAAACATGCAAGCAGACACGTTTATGTTCAGAAATTAACGAATTAGGTCAAAGAAAATGGGAAAATGTAGTTGTCATGCTTATATGAAATGTAGTTTTTGAAATGTAGTTAAATGAAAACATTTCTAGAAGTTTATTTTGAAATGCCTAACGGGATGTTGATTTCTTTTAATACTCCAGACTTTACGCCGCAACAATCAGCTCTTAGCATGGTTGCTAAATGTGCAAATCCTTCTAATTGGCACTTTGAAACTTACTTTTTGACTGCATTTGCAGTATTTGTGCTTGTTAGTATGAGGACCCTGAGGATGAACATCACGTCTTGATTTTATATGGTGTCGTGTCAAGATTTATTAATTGTTCCTTTTATAATTTTGGCGTGACATCACCCCTGTAAAGGAAATACATTGCTAGGTGGGTAACTGTCTGTTTGGTTTCTGAAACACTCTGACCAAAGTGCACTATTTATCGATTTATAAAGAGACTATTGCTTTTCTGGCCTGACATAGAAATGCTTCGGAAGAGAAAGAAGTTTACCTAGTAAGAGACAGACGATTAATTTCTTGTGACGGATGCTTATCACACATGTTTGATTATTTTAATGAAATGCAGCTGTTACAGAGCTAATGGAGTAGTAACATGCCAAATGCCATGTCTTCAAACTGCTTATTTAATTTACAAAAAGTAAGTAAAAGTATCCAATTTGCCACAAATTAACAGCAAGAAAAGCAGCCAATTACAAACAAAAACAGCTCGACCAGCTTACTAAAAATAACTCTCTGCGTTACACTGAACTTATTTAAGGCTTACGAATTTTGTCGTGCTCATGACATGGTTTTATCTCGAGCTGGGGTTTATATGGTGTTACATGTGTGAACAAAGGGACTACTGTCATACGTGTATTCAATGAAGCGCCCAGCTTTTATCTGGTGATAATGTTATTACATGAGGGTTTCTTGTTGAGTTTGCCGCCGTAAATCAGAGACAGTCTGATATGTGTGTCTGGAATCAGACTGGTGGCAGCCGTGCATGTAGTTTGTAAGGTCCGTCTTTACTCCAGGTCGTTATTAGGAGTGGGAATCGACAGCTGGTTTTCTACTCTCTAATCCGTAGACCTGCTTCATGACAAACATCTTGACTTTTCATTGCAGGGAAAGCTTATTTGTAATAATGATTCCTGAGTTCCTTTAAGTGTTTCAGTAAGCCAGGTTGAAATGTGTGCTGTTAAAACAGCTGGCCGAGCTCAGCAGTGCTGTCTGTCTGACAGTTGTGTATTGCCAAAGGTGAGGTTGAACTCAGTCACGTGCATATTTTGTACTGTCTGAAGACCCGGAGATAAGTAAAACCTATGTAGGTCACTGACATAGTAAAAATGTGGCTCCATTACAGACTCCTACAGATCAGTTTATTAGATAGATTAACAGGATGCATGTTACATATGTATTTGCATAGAAAAAAAATAACATCTCAGTCTTATAGGTTTGAATTTTTAAACACTTCTTTATTCTAAACAGTTTATTTCAGACCTGAATTTATTTTTCATGTGCTAGGTAACTGCTCTGTTAAGTGATCTTATTAGGTCTTCTTGATGCTGTAATGTCCTCCTCATAGCCACCAAACAGGTCTCTGGAGGCCAGAGCCACCTCCAGGAGACTGGAACACCCTTGAACTGGGTTTTGCACAAAGATCCAATCCTTGAAACATGTTTAACAAAATCATAGGTTTTGTTTTTACCCTTCAAGCTTTCAAAGATAATGTCATTTTTGCCAGTTAGTTCTCCCTGCCTGCACCTTTCTGTGTTCTCCTTGTGTTTGTGTGGGTGCTCCAGCTTCCTCCCCGAGTCATTTATGGGGTTAAGGCCAATCAGTGATCCTAACGTGGCCATCGGTGTGAATGTGAACATAAATGGGTTGTCAGCTTTTCTGTGTTAGCCTTGCAACATACTGGTGACCTGTGGCCCGATCACAGCTAGGATAGACTGATTACCTGTGAAAATAAACCAAAATACAGATCTTCTCAAAAGCACAGCAAACGAGCACTGTTCATTTCCACAATCATCTAGATTTTTATTTTATTTTTTTGTCTGTCAAAGCCACAGGGAGACACTGGAAATAGGCAAATGACTTTATCTTGTACTTGCAGCCCAGCTAGTTGGTGATCCTCTCGAGGCTTGTAGTGCCAGATGGGGATGGATCCTCTGGGTGCTCGCTCCCAGTTTGTGGATATCCAGACTCTTCCCACATGGCAGCAGCAGCTGGACAATGATGGCGAGGAGAAACGGCTGGTCCGGAGCCACAGCATGCTCAGCCAGAGTTTCCCCTCACCCTTCCCCTACAGACCAGATATCAACCGCAAGATCATCCTCTTGTGAGTCACGCTGTTTCTTCACATTGTTGCTGCTCTGTAGAAATCTGTCTTTTTCATAAGAGGTCACAACGTCAGCCACGGTTTCGTCCTACACAGTTAGTGAGTGCTTAACAAAGATAGACACAGAATCATATAGTCATTCAAGCAAAAATGTCACAATGAAATAACTAAAGTTTGAAAGTATATTTACCTTGTAGCTTTAACTGGTTTTGGTGGTCTATATGATGTATTTTTTTGTAACTATGTCATACTAAATTTCTTCTTTTTTAACATCTGCTCTTTGCAGTAAGATACAGCTGCTGTGTGTGTCATTGCTTTTGTGAAAGTGACCAATCATACCGAAACTATCAGTAAATCAGATCAATGCCCACAAAAGTTTCACTTTTTACCTGTCAGAGTGTGTATTCCCACCCACCTTAACCAAAGAGAACCCAACTCACAGTGGTTGACTTTGAGCACTTGGCTGCTTAATCCAAACACACTTTTGGATGCATATCTGTGTATTCTGGTAATCGCTATCAGTCATCTGTCATTTAAGCAAAGTGTGTGATCCTAGATACATCCTAAAAAAGGGCAGTAATATTAATGTATTGATATTAGCAGTATCATATAGTAGTAGTAAATGCTGCTTGTGTGTCCATGTGCTCATACAAACCTGTTCAGAGTCCATAACGTCGTAAATCTTCTTTGTAGAGAAACACATGACTATGTGGAGCCCAACTTGGCAGCAGTTTTTCTTTAGGAGCCTTGTTGTGGTGCCAGCCTTCCCCTGAGCAGTCATCACGAGCACGCACATTCCTGCCACAATAGCATGACCAGGATTTGAGCGCAATTGACCCTCGAGCAGTGGTGCTTTTAAACCTTCCAGCAGCTAGAATGACAAAGGGGTCTATTTTTGAGCTAATGTCAGAGGTTCCATATGACTACAGCTTAGATTTTCATCCTTTCACTACTTTCTCAGACTTACTTTTAAACCCATGGTGGTTAAAAAGTAAAGTCCAAGCAAGGTATCTGAAGGTATTGAAAGTCTTAATAGTGTCTCATTAAATAGATAAAGAGCTGTTGGCTCATTTCTTTTGACAGAAAGTCATTTATAGAGTAATTAAATAAAAATAATTCTATTTTATTTACTTTATGGTTGTTTTAAATGTCAAAGTCAATGTCATTGGACCTCAAAGCATCATCACACTGAAGTTCTTCACAGAATCTTGTAGCAATGTTACTCTTCCTGTAAGTAATGTTTGTTGATTTATGTCATAGTCATGATATAACTCTGTCAATGTGTTGCTACTTTTATTGTTTTAAAATGAACTTGTGCTCTTCGTGGATACTCTGATAGCGCACACCTGGTACTATATGTTGTTAAATGACTTTGTTCATAAATGGGGAGAGGACGTTTCATTAGTTTGGGATATATCTACTCTACGACTTAATACAGAAGCTAGCATTTGACAAAACAGGAACAGGGGATTCGCACGAGATCTGTTTCACTGTTGTTTGCAGGCATCCTGCTTGACTTGATTTGGCGACTCATCTGTAATTGAGCTAGGAGGAATGAGCTGAACAAAAAAAAATACACAACTCTTCCTCCGTGGTCCTGGTTGCTGAATATGTCTTGTGATCAAACACTGTCAACACATGCATTTCCTCATTGTTTTTTCCTAACACAACCTGAAGGGCTTCTGAACAAAGAGTTGACTTCAGGTATTAAAATAAGCATTAAAGTTTCGCCAAATGTCTTTGGTTACCACTGTGCTGTTACTGGAGACTGGGGCCTGGTGATGACTGCCAATAAAAGTCACATAAAGCCACTTGGATAATGAACATCAGTAGAAGTACAATTGGGTGTTGAAATGTTTGGACAGTGGCACAGTTTTCATAATTTTAACTCTTTGTGTCAACACAATAGTTTTTAAAATGCAACAATAAAGTGCAGATTTTTAGCTTCTATTTCCAAGTGACTGTGCAAAAACATCATTCTCACAGTACTCAAATGGATGAGTTACCCAAATAATACTTTTTAAAAAACCCAGTGAATTAGTTTTTTCTTTTTGTTCTTTGTAAAAAGTTTCAAACCCACAGACATTACCAAGTAGCAGATTTCCTCTTTCTGATCCTTTGATGTTGGCACCTCTGGAGCCTGTAGCGTGAAACACTTTCAACATACCCAGGATATCTTTGTTTCACTTATACTAATTCAGACCAAAAACAACGATAGACTAGCCTTCTGTTTAACCATGTAGCTACAACGGTGTTCCCAAAAGGGGTGATGTTGGAAACGTATGATGACTCAAACATGATTGTCCATACAAAATATTGTTAGAGAGAGATGAGATTAAAAATATAATGCATGCTATAGTCCAGTATACCTGCTCCAGTTAATGTGTATGTGTAGGACATACATACTGTACGGTGCTTTTATCTGATATTCGTAAAAGAAACCCTTCGGTGAATGTGGGCACATTAAACACTTTGACTGAAAATGCGTTATGTTATAAAAGTCTATCAAAAGCCTGGAAGGAAAAATGCAGACCGTGTAAGTAAAAGGGCTTAATCGCTGTAATTAAGACATGGTAAATCTGACTTTAAATAGTTATTTAGATGGTTTCTTATAGAATATGAGCTAATTTTATCCCCATTCTTTCAGCCGCACACCTTCTGTTGTTATACTGAGTACAAGTAAAGAGGGGAAAAAAACTATTTCAAACAGACAGGGAGCTTTTCTGTTAACTTTTATATAAGTTTAACAAGTAATCGTCCTATGTGACCTCTTGTAGAATCGCTCTATTAGAAATTATAAGACAGTAAAATAGCTTGAAGACAGAATGGGAAATCTATAGACCATCTAATAGCATGTACGTTAGAGCTTTTATGAATGATGGCGGTGATGCAATTTTCCAGTCAGCTGACCGGTCAGCACGCTGTGGTTTTTATACATGTTGATCTGCTGTCACAGAGCAGGTTATGCCTGCAGCATGAGTTGTTGTTGCACTGTACTCCAGTAAGAAGTGAACTGAAGCCCCCAGAAGTCTGACCTGATCTTGCTTGGCTCTAAATTGGCCTTTGATGTTCCCGCAAACTTTCAAATGGATTTATTTTGTTTTCACCCTCTTGTTCCACTTGTTTTGAGGGCACCTTAGAATACTGCTTATGGATTCACAGGTACAACTTAAAACACTTGGTATAAACTCAAGACAGTTTACCCACTTAATTTTCAATAAATAAAGAAGAAATAGCCCAGCTCTGTGAAATAGCTTTTGTTTAGGAGCTGGGAGGCAGTGATATATAATAATAATAATAATAATAATAATAATAATAATAGGAGACACTGTTATTCCTCAATGGTTAGTATTTTTCTTCAGCCGCATGAATTGAAGCTCAAGGTTTGCATTTAGATTGCATCTTTATTGTTTCATTGTAAATCTGTTGTAGCTGCATACAGCATCAAACTATTCAAAAATTGCGTCCCTGTCCAAAACATTTCCACACCTAGAAAATACAGAATAACAAACTTATGCAAAACATTGTTCTATGGCTAAAAAAACCTTTACAACATCTTTGGCAAAATGACATCACAACGTTTTTTTTTTTATACGCCATATCATTCGTATTTACTCTGTATAGTTTTAATAGATTGTTTGTTTGTTTGTTTGTTTGTTTGTTTTCCCCCCCACAGTGTTGGTGACATTGCTCTGCTGAATTGCACCGCCGTCGTGAACACCAGCAACGAGTCGCTAAACGACAAGAACCCCACGTCTGACAGCATCCATCAGCTGGCAGGACCCGAGCTCCGAGACGAGCTGCTTAAACTCAAAGGTAGACATGGATGGTTAAACTGCTGAAATGAGCTTGATTTCACTTTGGTCTTCTCAGAGATATCACTGGGAGTGTTAAATATAACCAGTCACCTGATATCACGCTGGCACTACCGCTGGCACTCTAATACAGAGTGAACTTTTATCAAGTCTCTACAGCTGCTGAAAGTACTGATAACACACAAATAAGTATGTTCTGGCTTCTTGATCGTACAAATGAGATTGTTAGATCTGAGATGAGATCTCTGATTCTGACTTTTCACCACCATTGTGCATTTTCATTTCATTTTCAAAGTCATCTAAAACATTGTTTCCAGAAACAGAGCCGTTGTTGTTAAAGACGGTCTACTTAGAAGCAGGAGCCCAGTTTTCACTGGAACTACTTTCTGCAGAATTGCTTCCAGTAATATGCTTTGAACTTTGAGCTCCAATTTCAAGGAACAAATACAGATGTTCTTGAACCCTGCAAAGATGTCTGGGTTTGTTATTCAATTATCTGCATCACTGTGGATGTACAATATGTGCCAGTGTTTTTGAGATTGGCTTTTCAGACGTCCCAAGTACAAAAAAATGGTCTAGTTACTGGTTTTTACCCCGACACACTGGAAGTGTCTTTTCATCAAAAAACGTCACCTAAAAATATCTACATTATTATATATATATTGATGCTTTAAGATGCAGTATTTGAAGAAGCTGGTGCTCAAAATAAAAACCTCTGTGTGGTTAGCATACCAGAAAATTTAATCAGCAAATTTAATTGTCAAAAGAAAACAGTTTTCTCTTTCATGAACTCAGTTGTCGGCTCTCTGATTCACATGTGTATTTGCTGGATCAACAGTCATGAGAGTTTATTTTTAACATGTAATAATAAATATAATAATCTTTTTGTGTGTTTGTGTCCAGGATGTCGCACCGGGGAGGCAAAGCTGACCAAGGGCTTCAACCTAGCAGCGCGGTTCATCATCCACACCGTGGGGCCAAAGTACAAAGCCAAATACAGGACGGCAGCAGAGAGTTCACTATACAGCTGCTACAGAAACATCATGCAGCTGGCTGCGTAAGAATCAGCAACTTATAATTCAGCCCACGTGCTAAACTTGGCAGTAATCGGACTTTCACAAATTTCATCTGTTTCATTCTCTGTCAGAAAGCACCAGCAAACAGTCACTGAATGAAAGTGACGGAGCTTTCCAACTTTTCAGATTACAGAAACACTGATTTTAGAAAAGTTGGATCTGTTTTAAAAGTTGATGGAAAAACATTAAATCCATCTGTAAAATATGAACTCATTGGATAAATTAAAAACAACCCCCCCAAAAAACAGTGTTTCAGATTAAAATCCACAATTTCCTAATCAATATTTCACAGACCAGATTGTGCCGTTTCTGTCCTGATCTACTTGGTGATATAGATGTTTGCAGTATATGATGAAGTGGAGAGAGCAGTGATGATGATTTAAGGGAGAAGGCTGAACCCACTAAGACAAAAAAAGAAAGGAAAAGTCAGACTGGCAAAATTTAAATAGTAGTACTGGAGGTCAAAGGAGCTTGCAAAGTGTGAAACTGGCTGATTGGGACCCACACACAGTTTCACACCTTGGCTCAGGCGATTAGAGGATCATCAGGGGGTCCTTTTGTCCCTCTGTGGGGGGAACTCCCACTAGGTTTATATCTGGGACTCTCCACCATTTGACCTTAGAACTGAAGAAGCTTCTCGGATGAGAGGTGAAACGTCTTCAAGCAACTTAAAGAAGTCCAGACACTTTTCTTTGCAAGCTCCTTTGACTACGATGACCTGGATGACTGAGAACCTTCACAGACATAGTACTGGAGGTATTTAGTGTTTTGTTTTTACCCCTCAGCTGTAAAAAGGCTGGTCAGAGATTGTTGTCACGCCTCCCTCAGGTGGGCAGGCAGCATGGACACCTGAGTTTGTGAATGCGATAAATCCAGAACATGGCAGGAGTGATGAAAAGCCTGAGAACTTCAAAACTACGATTGTTACAAGTTGGTGTGTATTGTCAGCATATAGAAAGTGCCATATGAAGGTTTAAAATATCATGTCACATTTGACCTCTGACCTTTCTTCAAGGTCAATAGAGGGATCTGAAGGTGCTATATTGAACCATTGTTTGTACTGACAACATGTAGACATATTGGGAATGATGTATGTCACATTTGACATTGTATAGTCAGTGTTTACTGTAGATGTGATGTGCAGTATGTGAGACTGTATTTCTTCATTTTTCACCACAGAGAGCAGTCAATGGCATCAGTTGGCTTCTGTGTGGTGACCACAACCAAAAGAGGTTATCCTCCGGAGGATGCAACACACATTGCTTTGAGTAAGACACACAGACACACACAGGTTTTTATTGGAGTGACACTTTAGTCATATTTTCTTATTTTTTTATCTCTCTTTGTAAGTTTATCGGTGCAGCCCTCCACCAAAATCCCAATTTCTCATGTGACCCCTTTGGAAAATTGAACTCCCCAAGCTTGTAATCGGCCCAAATTCAAAACAGTGGAATTTAATCTAAGAGGTTAGATTGCCACCCTGAAATCACTCAGATCCACTCAAACAGAAGTCTTACTCACCTCTGGAGTTAAAGCTACTACTGGCTGTAAAATAACCACAAAAACTGAACTGAATGAAAGACTGGATATACACGGGTCATAGTTGAGTGTATTAGTTCAGTGAACACCCAAAGAGAACACTATGTGGCAATTATTCTGCTTGTTTGCAAAATGTTTGTTCAGGTTTGTTCACTTAAATACACGACTACAGGTCCACACCACAGAAAAGGACGCATCTCAGTTGGTTTCATCCTCTTCTTAGTCTTAGAAAAATTGCAGTTCTCTGTAAACGACAGATTTGCTGTTATTTGTCTGTGTTATCTTGTAATAAACCAAAACAAATGTGTTTGTAGGGACAGTGCGGCGGTTCTTGGAGAATCATGGAAACAGCATAGAAACGGTGGTGTTTGCGGTTTCAGACACAGAGGAGGTTTGTGTGACTTCTTGTCTTTAGTTTAGACCAACAGGAAACACTGAACCTGCATGTTCCTCTTATTTAAAACCAGCTGTATGAAGTTAGCCATGTGCATATTAATCACTAATATATATATATTCATATTTGTGCTCTTTCAGTCTGTGTTCAAGAAGTTACTCCCTCTGTACTACCCACGCTCTGAGGGAGAAGAAAAGGCTTGCCTACCTCTCATCCCAGCTGACATCGGCAATTCTGAGGGTGAACCAGTGGTTCCAGAAAGACGGATCCGCATCACAGAGAAACCAGGAAGCATTGAAGGTGCAGCCTTCTTCTTTTTCTTTTTTTTTTTCTCAATAATGTGATGAACAATTTCCTGAAATCGGAAAGGGACACACAACATGCTTGACTTTCATTTCAGTCGAAAAGAAACAAAACATTTCTTCCCTGTAGTTTGAATTTGTAGAATAAAAGCTTTTCTTTTCATTTGAAGGACTTAATTGTCAAGTTGAAATAGTCTGACCGAGCAGTCAGCTGTTTGGCTTTTTAGGCTGTCAGCCATTCATGTTGTTTGTCACTCACTCACCAACCGAACCATAAAACATCTGAGCTCAATCATTAAATACAGTGTGAAGATGACACTGGATAATGATTAACTTAGAGCTCAGGTTGTTTTTGTGAGTCAGTCAGACTGCATCTGCCTTCAGGCTCCTGAAGTGTCAGGACATGATTGTTTTATTTGTAGTAAAGCACTGACAGGACATGAGAAGTATCACAGACAGATTTTAACCAGCATAATGCCTCGTCACAATGATTGTCTCAAAGCCCTTGAACAAAAGTGTTCTCCTAAAAGAAAGAGTTTGATGTGATCAGCACACGACTATCAAACAAAGGAAGATTCGAGAAACTTTCAGAATTCTAAATAGGGAAACTGTTTTGAAGCACATCAAAGCTTTTCTAGTCTCCCAACATTTTTATTTGTCCTCTAGCTAAATGCAGACCAAGTAGTCTTTATTGAAAGTAATCGAGGCCCAACAGTTCTGTAGAAATGGCAAAATAATAAAAACAAAAAGGACAAACAGAAATTTTGAGTTTTTAAACCCTCCACATAAACTGGATTTTGTATGACCTCTTTAGTTTATCTCAGCTAAGCCTTTGCTTGCACCCTAAATGTTAGGTTTTGGTGAAGAGGCCTGTGAAAGTAACACCAGCCCATGTGTTAGTGAGTGTTTGTGGTTTCCATTTTGAGCCTCTTGCCTCCATTGACCTCAAGTGTGGTGCCTGCTGGCCTGATGCTTCAAAGCATCGACATGTGGCTTTGGGGTGTTGATCCAAAGCAAGCAGGCTGCCTGCGAGTGAAACCCAATAACAACAGGCTGATGTATACACACTGACAGATGCACATGTCCGTTTGGATGTTGATAAAATGCACAGACATGCATGCAGCAGTGCATGTGGTCTTGGAGAAACAAGGAATGAAACAGACTTGAACCCGAGCCTGGAATCTGTCAGCTGAGTTTATGACTTCATAGCAGCGCTTTCACACACGTGTAACGGCATCCTTGCAGATGAATTGGAATCTGTGTAATAAAATAAATACGGACAAACAAGCAAACCCATGAGAATGTTGCTGCATTTATAATTTGCTAAAACTTGTACACAGATAGTGTTTTGAGGGGAAACGATCGTTTAAAAAAGCCAGAGTTAACTGGATTAATTATTTTTTGTAAGTAGTATCGGATACAAGTTCAGCATTTCATTACGATGTCTTATCTGTTGGCTTGTCTAGATGAATGTGAAGAGGACAGCCTGGAGTTGGATCTGGGTCAGGTTGGGACTCACGCCTTCGCCCGGATGGAGGGCGACGTAGACAAACAGCGGAAACTGATTTTACAGGGACAGATGTCTGAGGCAGCCATGCAGAAGCAACATCAGAGAAAGTAAGAGTCCAACCAAACTGTGAGATAACTCGATGATGCTTTCAAATGTTTTTCTTTAAATAAATGTAATAACATAATACTTCAAGTGTTTTCCACTTGTATTAACATTGACGTTGCCTGTATTAAAGTTTTCACGTGCAAAATCAAGTGCAGTATTTTCTTCAGTTACTAAACTGTAAATAAGTACAATTTGAATTACTCTATTTATGAAGTATTTCTATCTAATGTTGTTTCAGTTTGCACTGTAAGTGTTTGTCACTTAAAATTTTACTGAAACATTTCTGAACGGCTACGTTTTGGCTGCTTTCATGATCACACTTAAAGTTCTTTTTAGTTTTTTTGGGGTTTTTTTTATAGGTTTTTAGTAGATGTTTTGGCAGTAATTTACAGAGGCAGTAGTTATAGCATGTGTGTAACCGCTAATTGTTGCATATATTTAAGATACTCTTTCTGTTTTAATCCTGCAGCTACGGTCGCTGGCTGTGTCGAGCGAGAGCAGAGGACCTGTCAGACATCGCCGCGCTGAAAGCGTTGTACCAGACTGGTAGGTGTTTGAGCATGGGACGTGCATATTAGATCTTTGAAGGAGTCTTTCAACGTCTGAATGTAGATCTGAAACAAAACCAGGAACCAAAAGACAGTTTTCAGACATGTGTATTGTAAGGGTGCTCGCCTCAGAGTTTCTGTTTCGCCTCTGCATGAAGAGCGAAGGCAATTCATCCTCTCTAAGGCACAATTGACTGTCATCACCAGTAGGAGGCAGTGTTGTTGCACACAGTCCAGGACGAGGTTGAGCACCAATTAGCTCAGCCGATGTCAAGTGAGGCAAAGGTTGAACCTATTTGAACTTTCAGGCCGTGTTTTGAGGTGGGTACATTTAAGCTTTAACATTAAATATATAGTTTTAAATGAAAGAATATTTAATTTAAAACTATATATTTAATGTATTTTACTTGTATCACAAGAAAAGTCTTTCCAAAAAAAATGTTCTTTATGTTGTTGACTGTCTTAGGGAAATATGCAAAAGAAACATTTTACATTTTGTAGTGATGCTACACAAGTAGAAGGTCTGTATGCATTCAAGTAAGAAACAAAGGCTGTCATACAGCCACTAATGCACATTACAGTTGGAGTGTTTTATCCAAAAGTCAGCTTTCCAAATCACTGCAGATTACAAGCGAAAAGTCCAGATCATAATCACAGACGCAGAGGCTGAACTGCTGGAAAACGAACTATTACTCAGTGTTGGCCAGATGACCTCTGTAGGCAGAGGGCCAAACACAGACTGTATCTCCACACTTCTCACTTACTACATCTGCAGCTCTGTTTCAATACTGTGATACTATATTTAAATTAATACAAAATTGCAGGGTCTGAGTGTCTTTACACTTTACTGTGTATTTGTCCAGGCGTGGATATATGTGGCAGGACGGTGATGGTCGTGGTTGGACGAAACATCCCCGTGACCCTCATTGACCTTGAAAAGGTAACGTGTGCCAATATGTTAAAGTGAAGCACTTTTAGTGATCTTAGTCATGTCGGAACTCACCGTAACAGATGGTGCAGATTTATTTTTTTGTGTACTCGTAATAATGCAATACGTGTGAGCAAGCACAGGTCACATTGATCTGCTTTTAACCTTGTTCACTGCACGTTTGATTTTACTCCTCAGTACCTGTTGTAAAATGCAATATATCTGTTTTTAAATAGGAAAAGCTGCAACTACAAAAGAAAATGTATCAGATGTGGGTGATCTGGTTTTTAACAGAACTGTAAGTAAATAAATACTCACAGTAATCCTGTGTCTTTGTTTCCTCTGCCCGTCTGCTGTAGGCGCTGTTGTACTTCATCCATGTAATGGACCACATCACAGTGAAGGAGTATGTTATGGTTTACTTTCACACGCTGACCGGAGAGCATAACCATCTGGACACCGACTTCCTGAAGAAACTCTACGACATCGTTGACGTCAAGTCAGTCTGACATTTTACTCACCTGATTACACTGAGCCTGTGGCTAATCTAAACCTTGAGCTGAAGGCATGACTGCAATTTTTTTAAGCATTTGCCTTCCATCTTTTAAATTAAAACATGTCAAGTATATTGGAAAACCAACATTAAATCAGATATGAAGTGGAAGTATTGAATAGATGAGGCATTAACTTAGTTCCAGTTTTTGTCTTATTCCTCTGGCATTGAGTCACTGAGTAAGAACAGTCTGCTTCAGCTTTCCATCCAGAACTGTTGTCATCTGGGTTTACAATATATGTTTAAAGTAGAATTAGATTTGGCTGACATTGTTGGCCAACTACTTCTCCAGTCTTAACTAACCAAAACTTAAAAAAGAATCAGACAGAGAGAGGTTGTGTAAAAAAGACAGTCTTTGGGAATTCCCCTCTCATTCACTCCTTTTCTCTCTCAAAGGCCATGACGATACTATGATTAGGTCATTATAGTAGCAGCTTTCATATTTTCTTCCATGCAGCATAGTGCTTACTGGATTTTAAATCAATCTAACGGTCATTTTGTATCAACATGACAAAGGGTCCACTTTTCGAACTAAATCAAGGTGTTTAACATTTTGTATATTAGGCCATACAAACATTTAGAGTTGACTTTCATTTGACCTATTTGGTGTTCGTTGGCTCTTGCTCTTAGCCTCTGCAGCTGCATTAAAGTTGAGAAACATTGGTTGTGCCACAGTACGATACCACCAAGGTTACAGTGTTTAGATTACTGGAAAAGCCAAACAAGCTGTGAAACACATTTGTTTCATTGTTGGCGTTGGCGCGAAGTCTCGCGGTGACTTGAGGCCAAGCAACTTCGCTCTAACTTGGCCTCAAAGAGTTCAAACGAGTTCTAAACTGAGACCGGATAAGCCTTTCAAAGACAGCGCTCTGAAAAGTTGTTGTCAGACATGACTTTGTGATAACTGAGGTTGCAGAATGGATTTGGATCTGAATCAGTCATTCTGTTGAGCAATGAAGTGTCCATTGTGTACCATCACATTTGGAACTCGATACACATGGAGGCAGATGCTGTTTGATGTCTTTGAGATCTCCTGAAAAGTTCACCATTTATGAATATTTTCATCGTGCTTAATCGTAGCCACATCTTCCAAATGGAAACCAGAAAAATCTAGACTTCTATTCAGAGATCAGAGTAGACCTACAGCTTCACTGTTCTGAAGTGACTCCTCTATCCACACAGACTCCCCTGTTTGTGAATGTTATGTGTCCAAAATTAATAAAGACAGACATGAGTGGTCATACAGTAGATATTATTAGAGTTAGGTTTAAGTGTATGTCTTAATCATCCTACTACTACTGATTTAAAACTAGCACTTGAAACTAGATTAAACAAATTTCTAGTGTCCATAAACATCAACACACACATGAAACCCACACAATATCTAAACGTAACTGGAAAAAAAGAAGGGGTTGAAATTTTGTTAACTGGAAGCCACCAAAGGAAAAACCTAGAGAAACTCAGGTACTCGGTGGGTAGGAGAAGCGTTTATAGTTGTCATCTCTTTTTAGTTTTGGTTACTAGAAACCAAACTTGCTTCCTGTGTCAGTGGGAAACTCCATGCAGTCAAGACGTACCTTTCCACGCTTGTGTTTCTCAGGTTTCATTGCTTTCTGACTGTCTATTCTGTCGGTTTCACAACACCTTTCTTAACCTTCATAAAGAAAACTGAAACTGTAGCACATTCCTGATGTTTATCCTTTATGTTGTGTGATAAATTTACCCTAAGGGTGTCAGATGCAGGTTACGTGATATATTTCAGTGAGGCAGGAAAAGGGAATTAAAAAAAAAAGCAAACCTTGCTTTCACAGAGTATTTAAATGCGAATGAAGACGCCTTCATTCAGCTTCCCCTTTCATCGGAACAGGAAACCCCCATTCAGTCATAAGTGACGAGGGCGAACGTTTGTGTTCTGCTGATTCATCAGTGCAGCCTTAAAATGTTAGGGATGTTTAGGCTCCACCACCTCTGCAAACTTTTAGCTGGACCTAACGAAACCCAGACAACAGTCTGCCCTCTACTAAAGGCTCATTTAATGTGAAACAAAAAACGCTGAGGTTATCTGTTTGCTTGTACACTTTCTGACTTGGATATTGTACTTTGGCTGCAGTAGAAAATGATGACTGCTAACAAGTTTGTCATTTAGCAGGGGCGTGGGTCTGGCAGAGCTCTGTCTTTAAAGCACAAGAACTGTGCTGCCTGTCAGTCACAGAGACAATCAAAGCCTTTTTTCAGGGAACTTTGTGTCCTCATTCTTCTGCAGGGCGAGGAACACACACGCACATCACGTTCAGTGATCACTTTACTTCTAAACAGTTACAGTTTCTGTTCTAGCTGTTTTCATTTAGGAGTATTTTTCTTTCTCTGCTACATTTCTCAAGCAGTTGCTTTGTTTTGGGGTTTTTTTGGTTTGGCATCGTGATATTGAACCCTGGTCTGGCTATTTGGCTATTGATTGACTGCAGATGCATGTTAGCTTCAAATTACCTAACCAACAGACTCTCGCCAGATTGAACATATCCACAGTTTTGGAAGCGTATATGTTGTCTGCATTTAGCAGGAGACCGATGGACTCGAGAGTGATTATTTTTAAATATCCTCGGGTCCGGCTCTGGACCAGTGCAGAAGGCCACAAGTCACAGTTTTGTACGTTTGAATTATTTGGATAACTAAAAGTTCCTATGTGTTCCTCTGATGGACCAATGTTTTGGTTTTTCTTAACACAAGCAAATTTAGTATGGATGGAAGTTCAGGTCGGCACTATTTCCAGAGTTTTCCAGAATGCAAGAACTTTTTGGCAGCATCCAAATGGGCCGGGGTTAAAGGGAAAGAGCTTACTATTATTATTTAATTTATGTGTTTTATTTTAAGAGTAAAGTGGAAATGTTGAGTGTAAAGTTAAAGTGTGTGGACAAACGTGTTCTCTCTGGATAAATCTGAACCTGAATCTGAACCTCACCCTGAAGACTCAACATCTGTGTGTGATGGTTGATTCCTACAATATCAAGAAGAACTTCCAGATGCAGCACATTAATTTAAAATATCATCTGAATTAGTGAATATCAGAAATACGAGGAATTTGGCTCTAAACACATGTAACTAGTAACTGACCCACAGTTTTAGTTGGCGCTCTCTTACTCTGGGATAATACCCCTGATTTGTTTGTTAGTCTCACAGTCTGGTTGTTTGCTTCTGTCTTGAAAACAGAGATGCGGGAGTTGCCTCCAGCAACTTGGGAATGGCAGACATAACAGGCTTATACCGGTTTGGTAACCTCAAGTTTACATGTCATGTTTTTGCCAGTGATGTGGCTCTGTTGCTTCATTGGAGCATGGTCTGTAGTTAAATAATGGTGATTGAAATTGAGTTCCTCCCAAATGTAGATGCCTCTCGGGCCCCTCTTCCATCAGGGAGAGTTGGTTGCGTGAGACTGACAGGCTGGTGAGCCATCTGTGGTTTTGGCTGCTTTGACTGAGCTTCAGATACGAGTAGATGGAGACAAGTGTCTAAAATTAGCTTGCTTCTGTAGACAGTTTGGCACAGTTTTATGGCTAAAGTTGTCTGATCAAAGCAGCGTAAAGCAGCATTGTAGTATGACAGCTGCTGTAGCTGACACTGTCGATTAATTGTCTAATTACCTGTCTGTTCAATCAAATAAATAACCAAGCATTGGAAAAACATTTGGCACTTCCATGTGGTAAATGTGTCCATGCTAATGTACAGGATGGAGCTGATTGTAAAGTGGTGTTTTTGTGGGACAGTAAATGTGTGGCTTTGGAAACAGCCACAGAAACATTGTGTCTCCTCTTTCAGAACATCAATCATTTTCATTTCATAATACAGGTTTTTTAATTTTATGTTTGATTTCCAGAATAATGAGTCATAGGGTTGCTGAGAAGTATTATTCCACTAATGTTCTGCTTTATTTCTTGCAGGTATAAAAAAAATTTGATGGCTTTCTACTTTGTACATCCAACATTCCGCTCGAAGGTAAGGGATGGTTTTATTTGCAGTTTCTGCAAAGCTTATTTAATATACAGGCCTGTGTAAAACATTTATATTTCAGTTGATAATGTATAAATGTATGAAAACAAACCTTGTCTGTGTAGTTTATTGTATTTCAGATGATTTTGATCAAGTTTTTATCCTTTTTTTGTAAGAAAAAGAGTGAGCACAAGACATTAAAAAGCCATATTTATACATTTAAGATTAAAATGCTGTGCCTTACACCCTTCAGTGGAAACTTATTTCCACTGCTTGCCTCATTCTTTTGTTCACTAGCTGGAGCTCATGACCACAGGTGATAGTAAGAATGTAGACTGACCTGTACGTTGATAGCGTTGCTTTCATGCTCAGCTCTTTCTTCACTACAGCACACCGACACATCATACGCACCACTCTGCCTGTCAGTCTCCTGCTCCCCTCACCCCTCATTCACAAACAACACCATGAGATGCTTAAACTCCTCCACTTGGATCGGCAACTCATCCTGACACAAAGTTGGGACTCCACTGTTTTGCCGTCAAAAAAAATATGGCCTCAGATTTGGAGATTTGTGCTAGTTTTCATCCCAGCTGCAAACCACTAAAGTGCAAGCTCGAGGTCACTGCCTGATGAAGTTAACAGAACCACACATCTGTAAAAGGCAGACAACCAGGAGCGTTTTGCTTTTGTTATTAATCCAACTCCTTACATTCCTACCACACTGATCCAGAAAATATTTTCCTCTTTAGGTAACTTCTGGTTTATCTGGTTTCTTGATAACTTTTTCTTTATTCATTAAAGTTCAGTCTTGCTCAGTTTTCTGTTTTTTTACAAAGTTGTGTTCAGTTATTCTTTGATTATTGCATGACTGGTGTCCTGGCAATGCAAAATCAAGCTTGAATGTTTTTTAAAAACTGATGAACGGTTCTTTACACACATCCATTCTCTTTCTTCACTTGTCTCAATCAAGGTTTCAACATGGTTCTTCACCACTTTCAGTGTATCTGGCATGAAGGAAAAGGTCCGCTACCTCGACAATCTGCAACAGCTCTTCACCTGCATCAAGCCTGAGCAGCTCGATATCCCTCCATTTGTCTTGGAGTACGATGCACGAGTAAGAACACATTAACAGAGAGATCCATAACTCAGTCCTATGTTGTTTGCACATGATCCACGGATATCTTTCAAAGTGATTTGAATCATTTTGCAAAGGTAACTGCTAAAATACATAAAGGATTTGATAAAGCTCTCAAAACTGGCCCAAACGTTTGTTCCAAAAACCCCACACAGGTTGGAACTATTTATTTTAACATAATCAAGCTGACGTCCATCCAATTATTGCTCATCTAATTAGCTCTCCTTCACCAGCAGCAACGCATCTGAAGTATAAAGCAGCAGGTGTTCTGCCTTTGCCACACAGTATGTTATTGCAGATGGATAGATCTACATTAACCTAGTAGAAATGAATGGTGTAAATCAGCCACTGAGTAATGCTGAAGGTTTGTTTTGTTTTTTTCAAATCTAATATCAAATCTTGCATATTCACTAACAGCACTAGAAATTGCTGACCTTACATCTGCAATAAACCAGTATCCTGCTACCTTGTTGTGGCTAACTGCACGGAAGGTCAACCATTAAATAGACAGGAAATGAAAGCACATCAGATAATGTTGTAGGCTGATTCACTCAGCGGTGGGAGCTCAACGATTTGCAGAGGTTCAGAAGTGACATTCAGTTATTATTTTCCCTAATTATTCTTATTTTTACTACCTGCCTGCCTAATGTGATATTAGAACAGAGTGTTTTAATACTGGAAAGTGGTTCAGCTTTTGCCACTTTAAAAACTTTTTAACATTTTATAGTTAAAGCCATATGTGGTTATAGTCTGACCATTACTAAAGTACTTTGTAAAACATCTAATTTGGGCCAGTTTTTCTTTTTTTTTAGCTTTCTGACTTTACTGTGACAGGCAAAGTATGTCAGTTGGGTGCAGCTGTGGTAACCCCTCCGCCTTCCTCTATAAGAGTTAGGGTTCATTTGAAGTAGTGGCTAGAAATTCTAATGTAGACACCAGAAAGTTGGTCCCACTTTCTCTAGATGACTAAAATATAGCTCAGGTGCTGAAGCATGTGGTTTAAAGTTACAAGCGACCTGCCAAAATAATTTGATGTGTCAGAAACATCTGGAAGTTGCAGCAGATTATCCCAGTTAATATATCTTAACTTGGAAAATATGTCACTACATTTGGAGTGCTGATGTTTGGACCCAGTAACTGACTTCCTTTGATAAATTAGAGTTTGTGTGTCTCCACCTCCCTGTAAGCATCGGTTTTGCATTTTCAGATGCCGAAGGACGGACCGTAACCCTGTTTAGCCTCACGTCAGCTCTCTGGCTGATGGTGTTTTAGTAGAAATATTTAGGTAGGCTATGTTCCTGTTGATGTCTCGGATAAACCTGAAATCACACAAACCTTTGTGTGTTTCTATTCACGTTCTTTTTTTCATCAGTTGTATTTGAGGGATCAACAGACGAGACAAATCTCTAGACTTTCCCTTTTCTATTCTCCTCTTCCTGATGTAAACCAGAGACGGTGGAAATGATTTCTGTTGTTTTTTATTTTCATCTCCAGGTTTAATTTCACCTGTTAAACCGTTGACTATAACCTCAATTAAAATGCCCAGGATGCTTTGTGATTACTAAATGGACAAAATAATTATCAATAACTTTAATTAATCAAGATTTTTATCGTTTTAAGAAAAGTTAACTGATGTATTTTTTTTACTGGCATGTTTGAAGAAAAGCAGGTGAGGAGTTTTTGATTATCCACTGATAACTCTGCCGTCACACCTTCCCCTCAGGTTAATATCAGTAAATACTATCAGTCGCTCTTCTTGTTTTCATCTTGGTAACGTTACCCGCCTTCGTCCTTCACTTACTCCAAACAGCACCGCCATACAGTGCTCTTGTCACATCTCGTTTAGATTACTGCAGTTCTCTGTGGTCTACCTCATAAATCTCTTCATAAACTGCAGTTAGCTCAAAATCCAGCTGCTTGTATTGTATCCAGAATCGGATCTAATGAACGTATATCACCTGTTATTAACTCCACTGGCTTCCAGTTCACCTACGTGTCAATTTCAGATCCTGCTTCGGGACTACAATCTCTCTCTCTACTTTCAAATCGCGTCTTAAAACCCATCTATTCAGAACTGCATACCCTTCATTTTGACTTGGTCTTGTCGATGTTTACCTTGATTAGCTTTTATAGTTGTTTTTTTATTTGTTTACCTTGTAATAAATAAAAAGTGTTATTAATAATATTTTTATTATTAACTGTGGGTGTCTGTTTATACTCGGAGCTAAAATATGGGGAAACATGACAGATTGATGGCACATGTTTAAGCGTGTTTCCTTTTGGCATTCACTGAGTTGCCATGAAACGACGTAAACATTTGGATGTTCTTTAGTGGCATCAGCTAAAACAGACTGTCAGAGTAGAACGTCAGCGTTGCCCCTATTTTGAGTACTGAGGAAATGTCAAACCCTGAGGAAGCATAGTTAGAATCAAAAACAACGTCTAGTTTGTTAGTTTGATGCAGTTTGAACTTAAAAAAAACGTTCTTGCATCATCCGTTTCTTTGGAATAATTCACTTTTTCTTTGTTTTTTTTGAATAGCTGATATGTTTGTAAACCACTGTGGATATCCACTTATTGATGTTGGATTGCAGCAGTATCAAGCTTGTTTTCATATTTTGTTACTCGGGGTAGTTATGAATAAAGACACGAGGTCACGGAGCTGTAATAATTACTGGTAGATGAGAAAATGCACTTGTACATGAGGTTACCTGTACAATAAAGTATCATCGTTTCAGATTCAGCGTTTTGCAGGGAATGTAACTCCAACAGTGTCCTGATGCATCAAGACACAGAATCAATTTTTTGGAACAACAATGTATTTTCCACTTTCAGCACAGCAGACGACCTGGGCGACATTGTTTATATTGACACCTACCCAGAAACACTTGTCCTGCTGAGCTTAATTACAGTGCTGATGGAGTCCAGGAAGTAATTGCTCTCTTTGTTTGCTGAAATTGAACCTAACCAGGAGGTACCTTCTTAAAATGAATCTCTTTGGAAACCTCGGCCAGTTTGATCAGTCGTTAACTCTCACAGCAGACTCAGAACAGAATTGGCATTCGTTTATACCTAAAAGTAGGAACCAGGACTTTCACTAAAACTCTATTTGCGCTGTTACTAACTACAGAGGTTGTGTCCTTAAACTCATAAGATGATGCCACAGTTTTTTTTTTCGTAGCAGTCAAATAAACCCCGTATTGCAGGTTTGAAGCTTCTTAGGGGCGAAATGGGGGTTAAAGTACGCCGTGTTCCAGAGCCTGCACCAGAATGGTAAGGATGATATGACGTGTGAAAGAAAGTTGGCTACAGTTACCACTGAGCTTAGATAATTGTAGATTTTCTCAAAAGGGAAATTGAGATGGTATCGCTCATGTAACCACTCACCAGCCGTCCATTTTCCTTTATTAGAAAACAAAAAAGTGAAACTTGCCTCATTCTTTGTTGGTAGACTTATTTCATTTCACAACACCTGCTGGCATTTCACCATTGCCTCTCAAAATGGGCCTCGGATCGACTTGTCTTTAGTACTGTTGGCTGTTTTCACATTTCTCACATTTGGCCACATTTATTTTAGCTTTGCTTGTCAGAGTTTGACTAAAGTGGAATCTATTTCTTTTTAATGCTCTAATAAGCCTTTTCAAGGCTTATTCTTGCACAGAACTTGTTTGATTACAAGTTTAAATGGCGTATTTTCACATCCAAAAGGAGTTGTTTTGTTTTGTTTTTTTTTTTTTTTTTTTCTCTCAAAATTTTTTTTATTACTTTTTTTGACAATCTGTGGAAATTTGTGGGGTGGGGGTTTTTCTCCCACTGGTCTACAGCTAAAATCCTGAGTAAACATAATCTAACTTCATTAATTTTTGGCCTTTTTATTCTTTAATTTGTTTTCTGGCTCTTGTTGTCATGAGGTGCTGTTAGTTCTTAGACAGCTACTTTGGTAAAAATGGCTCAAATGTGGATATGTGCTCGTTTTATATGCTTGGGATCATTGTCCTGTTGTATGATCCGTTTTCAGCCACGCTGTAGCTGTCAGACAGATGGCCTCTATCATATTTCTATATACAGAGGAGTCCATAATCCACTCAGTGACTGTAAGGTGCTCAGGTCCTGAGGGCCAAATCATCATCCAAATCGATACCTGTCTACAACCATCCTTGACAGTTGGTATGAGAGGTTTTGGTTTTCGTCAAATGTTTTGCTGTCCATTATGGCCAAACATCTCCACTTGAGTCTCATCTGTTCTAGAGGTGTTTTGCTCTGTTTACATGCAGCTTTGCAAATCTAAGCTGTGCTGCCGTGGTCTTTTTACAGAGAAGAGGCTGTCTCCCAGCATCTCCCCAAACAAGCTATAGCAGTTTTTAGTCTTTTTCTAACTGTACCGTCATCACCAACTTTTACATTATAGAGTCTGAGATGCAGCTCTCTTTGTTATTTCTCTGAGCATTGCACAGTTTGACTTTAGACCGAATGCTGCGATGTTCATTCCTGAGATGCACAACTGAACGCACCGGAACAGCAAACTGCCAGAATGTCTTCATTTACAAAGTGCTCACAGTTACTGCAAATCAACTCATCACAAGCGTCTGATTAGCACCATCTGGCTGCTGCTTACCCTCTTAATTCCTATGGAAGCAGTAAAGGTTTTTCACAGAACTACATGGTCCTGTGAAAACCTTCTTTTGCACATGAATATCTGTTGACCTCTACTCTGAGCTTGGACTTGAGCTACCTAAATCTAAAGCTGCATGTTTTTTTTTTTTTTGTTTTTTTTTGTTTTTTTTCAAGTGGATCAAAATGTGCCTCAAAACCACTTTTAATTTTCTTTCTCAATATGCTGTCGACATGTAGCCGAGGGATGAACCAACACGTCTACATGGCGTAATATTCTGGTCAATTGATGAAACGGATGTTTCTCCCTGTTACAACACCCCACGCAGACACAACATCTTGGTCTGACATTCTAGACTCTGAATAAATGTATTATTTTTTTAAATCATCATTAACGTTCAATAACCGTGCTGTCCTTTTTATGTGATGTTTCTAATTAAAGTTTTTGTGAAAAGTTTACAAGCTCAGCATTTAATAATAACACATAAATTTAAAAAAATAGAAAACTTAAAAACAGTAGCCAATCAGCTATTTCACTGTCATACATGGAGCCCGAATATAAAATTTCAAAGCAGACACATTCTGAAAAACCAGTATCCTTTACTTAACTCGGCTGCACACTCACACCTTGATTCACACTCATGTTTTTGTGCTTGTATATTCAGTAAGAAGATCTTTTGCTTAACTAAAACTTGAATCTTTCTTAATGTTAGCGTGTTGACATAATCTTTAGCTTATCAGTGTAATTATTCTACCAGCAGAGCAAAGCAGTCATGCCACACCCAACACTGCTGCCGTCTCTTCTGACAGTAGAACACTTTGAAGTTGTGAAAGGCTCTGACAGGTGTAGTCAGATTGCTGCCCACAAATTTTTCTCTGCATTATTAAAACACGTGCAGCAGCTAACAGGACAGCCTGCCCCTCCTGGTACGAGGAATACAGCTTCCTGACACTTTGCTATATCAAGAAAACAGCACAATAGACCTGAATGAAAGCGAGGGTGGGTTGTGATTCATGAATAATTTACTTCCTGTTAGCATGTCCCTTCTGCAGCTGCTCCATCACATTGTCTCCACAAAACACTTCTGTTGTGTTTTGTAAGGCTTTGTTTATGTCTTTGTTGCAGTGCATTTGACGTCTCAGGGCCACCGTAGTATAAGTCAAATTCTCTTTGTGTTGGCAATAAGCACTTTAGTGTTACCAGCTTTGGCTCAAGTGATCTGTGCTAACCCAGGTGTTTGTTTTATTCTCATCTATAACAGGTGAACGGACCCTACCATCATTCAGAGGCTTCCGGTCTGTGACACGAGTCCAATCGAATCTTTCTGTCCAAGTGGCGAAGTGGTGGATGTCTTTTCTGGACATGAAGTTTTCTGTGTGGTCTGACCTCCAACCTCCTCTTTAAGGCTTTGAACCTCAGTTGAGGAAACTCTTCTTTTGTTCTGTTCCTGCCAAAAAAGACCAAATTAAGAGTCGCAGTGCACATATAGCACGGCGCGGTCTGGTGAGCAATCATTGTTACTCACCACAGACTATTTTTGGATCTGGCATGGCTCCTGGATTATGCCTTATACTGAGAGACTTACTCAGCAGTTTTGTCATACTGCCCAAAATATGAAGTATCACATCATAGCTGGCACTTAACTCAAAGGCTTCCCTGTGATGTGGTCGTATCAGACATCCTCGCCCATGTCTCAGAAGATGCCTTTTCAAATGCTGGAGTGATACGGGGAGTGCCTGTTTGGATTTCTACACCACACGGAGCGGCAGAAAGTCTGCAGTAAAGACAAACATTGGGTTTTGCTCAGCCGGAAGTTTTTCTCCACCTGTTTCAGCGTAATATGAGACCGTGAGCGCCAGCAGTCCAAACCGGAAAATTCCAGACAAACATTAATGCTGGGGAGATTTCTTTGATTAAAAGCACACGTCAGCTGGCTAACATTCAATTTACATCACAAGGTCATCTTCATATTTTGTGAACATGTGAAGTTAGCTTAGCTTGGCACAGAGACTGAAAGAGGAAGCAGAAAGGCTCAGCTTAAGGTGTCAGAGTCACTTCAGCTGTAGCGTCATACATTAAGTTAAATTCACAAATATTAGAGGGAGATGCCTCTTATCGTCTAACTCCTGGCCGGAGAATAAATAAACCATTTCCCAGATATGTAGATCTGTTACTAGAGGCAGTGCTGAAGTACTTCTGCTTAGCATTAACAATGTAAAAAGCCCTGTTTGTTTTCCAGTTAGCTTTATGGTGGGCCTGAAAGGAAGCAGGGCATGTGTGCCTCTACCAAACTTGTTAGCACCGTGTCACTGAAACGCATATTTAACCTCACACATTTAACAACATATGCCTAACATTAACTGCTTCCAATCTTTGACTGTTCTAACTTAAATACTATAAAACACGTTAATTTTCCTGTTTCTGGAGATGGAACATTTGTAACTGTTTCTTGAAGCAGTAACTGGAATCATTAAAAGAAATTGGCCACTAAACAGTGATACAGTTCTAATAAGGCAGTGCCTCTGTAACCCACAACAGTGGAAACATGATGTGCAAGTGAACCTAAATTACACAAGTCAAGTCATGAGGAGTCCTCACTCTCACAAGCGCCGTGAAGGAAAGTGATTAACTATTTTTTGTGCTTTTGTGTCAAATCGCTCTGTTACTCAGTCACTAACTCCTTTGTTTGCACAGCTCGCTTCACTTTAAGTTGTCGTCTGTAGTTTGATTTATCTTGGACTGCCACATGTGTGGGTGTCCAGGTCAAATGGAGTGAAGTAAACTCTGAAAGCATTTCTGATTGTCTGAACCTTCGATCAGTCATGATGTAGCAGGACCCCCGCATGTGTGGTAGCCCAACACTGACACTATCACCATAAATCGGGGGGGGGGTTCACCTGTGTGTAGTCCTGCGTTCATCCAGGCCAAACATCAGGAACTCTGCATGATTGCATTTGAACTGTGTTGGCTGCATGGAAACTCTTTAACCTTGAAATGAAAGCGGGGATGTTATTTAACACTAGCACACAGAGTTCAGCTTCTAACTTTTGAGGTTTCAGATAATGTGATGTGCACACTGGTGGGGGGTATATATCTCGTGTCACTTACTCCAGGAGCTTCTGTTTACTGTGTTTGTAGGGCTCCTTCTAAAATCAATAATAAATGGCCTCGTGAGGAAAGCATGCGCAGTCAGATTGAGCTGTTTAATGTCTTTTGTTGTTTTCCTCAGTGCTTTGAGTTCCATCCAGTGAAATGAGGTTAGTGTTCCCTCCTTTGACAAAATGAAATGTGCTGTCACTGTTTTACCTTCAGCTGAATCGGTCAGCACAGACTTGCTGTTAGAACTGTGATTATATCAGAATGTGCATCAATGAGCCAAAATATCTGTGTGTAGATGTGTCCTGTTTGGGGGAGTTTTTTATCATTTTAAAGTAATATGTGGAGGGCCTGGCGTTTGATATCCTCTGAGTTTTACAGGAAATGATGTCATTCATGTTTAAATTTCCTTACTTTTTTTTTTTTTTTTTTTTTTTTTAAACACTTTGATCATAAGAATTTTTTTTTTCTTGATAATAACGGGCTTAGACTATCCTTTTAGAAAAGAGCTGGTTGTATTGTGGAAAGTATTTAATACCTGATGAAGAATAAAGATTGATTTCGGTGCTGTAGAAACATGTTTTCAAAGTGACTTTTCTGCTTAGTCTCAGTTTTCTTAGTGAGCGCCTCAAGGTTTTGCTCCAATTTGGAAAAAAGTGTAAAGTGTCATTTCCATTTTCCTCGCAGCTAATGGATGAGGAGAGATTTGGTGCTGTGATGTGTGCTCTGCAGCAACTTAGTTCTGTGAAATGAAAATTCCTCACACGGTTTACATGAAGGGTATTTATGCAACTCTTAGCATTTCGGAGAACTCCATGTTGCTTTGAGTTTAAGCAGTTTAAACCCACATTCCAACACATATGGTTTGGCTTGACTAAACAGTGAGGTACGGCTGAACGAAGGACGGCTTTTTAACTTCTTACCTTTCAGACTGAAAAAGTCCATACAGTAAGTATTAATGTTACAACACTGTGATACATTTATTTTTATACATTTTACAAAATTGAAAATTCTTCGTGCTTGTGTTTAACATAAAGCAGAACGTGACACTAAATAAAAGTAAGATAATTCATTCTTTTTGTGGTTCTGCCACAGTTTTTCCTTCCACTGTTGTTTAAACGGGGTCGTGTGATTGTTGGGGTTTTCTCAGCTTTCTCTGTATTATTGTCGGGTCTTAACCTTACAATATAAAGCACTTTGATGCAGCTGTTTTAATTTGACGCTATTTAAATTAAGTTGAATTGAACTGCGAGAAATCGGAGAAAATTGCAAGTCTGTTGACATCTCCACAAACGGAAATTCACATCCATTATACTTACATTCAGAGTCCAGCCAGAGCTGCGTTGCTTAAAAATAGAAATTCTTTCACAAAATGACGTAAGTGCTCAGCAACCCTGCTTTCATATAGGAATATAACCACAAATAGAACCAGTTGAGTCGTGTCCCCTATTACAGAGAGACGCACCGCAGGTGATTTGTACTCATCAGCACAGACTGTTAGGCGTCTGTCTCTGTGTATAAATTAGATGGCAATTGTTTGCTAACCTTAGCCAATCTGTGGGCGTTTGCATGGATGTGCAACACCTTCAACCTCTTGCTGGCAAGCTAGTTGCTGTAAACACAATCAGTCTCCAGCAGCAGAAAAAAAACTATCACCAGTAAACCAACAACTTTTCCTGGTTGCAAAGATCTGATTTGATTTTGGCTCTTATATTCTAGTACTCTTTGTAATAAAGAGATAAATGAGATGTCTGTCTTGTGTTTATTTATTTCAAATTGTCCAGTAAACAACTCTTGAATTTTGCATTTTAGGTAATCAGCTGAAACGGCTGTTTGCACAAACAAGAAAGAAGTCTCATTTTCAGAGGCTGTTTCCAGATATGTGCGCTAATACAGATTTAGTACTCTAGTGGCAGCCGGAAAATAAACTCTTGTGGGCATGTTTGTGATAATGGAGGAACATGTCCACAAGGCCCACTCTGTGACTGTGTTTTTGGGACAGCACTACAGCCTTGATGACAGAGAAGAATACTGTGCTTAAGTTCTGGTGTAGCAGAAGAACAAAGACTGCGGGGATCAACGGGGCGTTTTAGAGGCTTGTGAGTCTGCATGAGAAATGTCAGGACACAAAGGAGTAACAGCCACACAGATAGCACTGTAATTTGGCTCATTTATATTTTAACACAGTGTAAAGATCGTATAGTGTAAAATAATTATCTTAAAATAAAGGGATTCATGATTAAATCCCAGTCCATGGCTTAGATCCTCCAGGGCGGCACATTAAAAGGTTTGCTGTGTCTCTCAGCTCGGTCTCAAAAGCATTGAGGAGATTCCAGGAGACAGCAGTTGCTCTAGGAGAGCTGACGAGGACCATAGAAGGTCCTTAAGAAATCAGCAGAACCGGTATCTACTCCTATGTCTGAGGAGGAACAGTGTAAGCACTGCCAGAGTTACAAATTTACCTCCAGCAGGCCACTGGTGTGAATGTCTCTGACCAAACAATGAGAAACAGATTTCATGATGGTGGCCTGAGGGCCCCACATGGGCTTGTGGGTCCTGTACTCACTGCACAGTGCTGTGGAGCCTAACTGGCATTTGTAGTTAGAGAAGTCACATCATCAAAGAAGATGTACTGTTAAAAAGAACTACGCACCTTGGCTAGATAATGAACTTAACGCTGCAATGTCAGAAAGCGATATAGCAAAAGTAAAAGCACATAAGTCTGTCAGTCCACAAGAGTGGGCAAGATATCGCTAGTTAAGAAATCAAGTAACTAAATTGAATAGGTGCAAGAAGAAAGGATTTTAAGCTAAGGGTATACCCTATCACCACCCTATCACGCCACCTTATATAGGATGTTATCATGAATAATAAGCAATGCCAGTTTAAGTTTGAGACAGTAAATGTTGAGATGGTGGAGCGTTTATTAATATCACTTCATGATGATACATGCTCCGGCTCTGATAACAGACAGTAAACTGCTCAAAGTTGCAGCCAAGTTTGTGTCCCTTCCTATATGTCACATATTTAATAGATCTCTGGCATAGCTGGATCTGTATTAGAACAGGTCACCCAGATTAAATTACTTGGTGTTAGCATAAACCACCACCTTTCATGGTCTCAGCATATCGACTATGTTATTAAGGAAATGGGACAGGACATAGCTATGGCTAGGAAAGGCTCCTATTATATTACTTCTTCAATTATGAAAGGTGTCATTAATGCACTAGTATTATCTCGTCTAGAGTACTGCTCAATCATTTGGTCAGCAGCTAATAAGACAGATCTGAACAGACTTCAGTTAGTCCAGAACAAAGTGGCCAGATTAGTGTTAAGGTGTTCATATTATACAAATATCGATAAAATGCACAATAAACTTTCTTGGCTTTCTGTACAAGCTGGATTATACTATGGCTTACTTGTATTTTTAAAGAAACCATATTTTTTTCTGCTCAGTTGCAGCATCCAGATGAAAAACATAATCATGCTACACGGTTTTCAGCAAACCGTAATTTAGTAACTCCTCGAGTTAAAAGCAACTTTTTGAAAAACTCTGTTATATTTAGAGCATCTTTTCAGCGGAATAAGTTGCCTTGTGCAAATACAGAACCGGCTTCTATTCATAATTTTAAAAATCACTTAAAAGCCTATTTAGGCAGCTTTTAATTTATTGTAAATATTGTAAGAGGGCAATGTCATTTGTAATGGAAATTTGTGTATTTTGTCTTAGTGTTATTGATATTTATATGCTTATATTTTCACAAAATATTGTAAAACCTTACTGTGGATGGAAGAGCCAAATTATGCGGATATTTTGCATCCACTTTATTGTGTAATATTTTATTTGATTGTATTTGATGGTTTGGGCCCCAGGAGGAGCAAGCACTGTTGTGGAAGCTAATGGGGTTCCTTATAAATAAACAAATAAACATTACATCAAACAAAAGTTGTTTTATAGAGACCTGTCAGCATAAGGCAGACGGGACGAGGCTTATCATGAGGATATTTTTCCCCTTCCTTTTTTCCGTGTCGTGTAATAACCAGGATACTGTCTTGCACACAGTTCTGTTTTTTTGAGGAATGGAGAAGGAAACTGGACCAACATGTCAGCCATGTGTTTGTATAGTCAAATATCCATCCATCCATCCATCCATTCGCTTCCGCTTATCTTTTTCAGGGTCGCGGGGGGCGCTGGAGCCTATCTCAGCTGTCATAGGGCGAAAGGCGGGGTACACCCTGGACAGGTCGCCAGTCTGTTGCAGGGCTAACACACAGGGACAGACAACCATTCACACTCACATTCACACCTAGTGGCAATTTGGATTATCCAATTAACCTATCCCCACAAGCTGCATGTCTTTGGACTGTGGGAGGAAGCCAGAGTACCCGGAGGGAACCCACGCAAACACGGGGAGAACATGCAAACTCCACACAGAAAGACCCCGGCCTGATGGTGGAATTGAACTCAGGACCTTCTTGCTGTGAGGCAACAGTGCTAACCACCGTGCCACCGTGCTGCCCTATAGTCAAATATATTTTATTATTATTTCGTAGCTCATGTGTACACACTGCTGCGAGTGACTGACCCGCAGGAGCTGTCAAAGCCCTCTTGGTGTGTTTCTCTTTAAGAAAACAGGAAAGATGGAGACCCATAAGTGGCTGAATAAGATGGATAAACAGCAGGTGTTGCAGTCAGTGTGGCTTTTTCCACCGTCTCATCTTCCCTTTGCAGAAAACAGCATCATTTTCCAGGAAGTGAAGAAGTGGCCCTTTCCTGATTACCCCCCCCACACACACACACACACACACACACATACACAACCCCTACCCCACCTCCAACCTGCACGTTGCCCTCAGCACCTCCCATCCCCTCACCTGCCAACATCCTGCTGACCACGTTGACCCTCTTTCATCTCTTTTTCAGTTTTTTTTAAAGTCTCTCTATTCGTTCTAGCTGGATTAAAGTGCTGGGGGAAGGGGGGGGGGTGGAAGGATGTTGCTGTCTGTTCTGTAAATGAAGAGCTGCGGAGAGCACAGGACCAAATCTATCTTTTGTAGGCCTCTCTCCGTGACAGGCTGGGGATTAGCCGGCCAAAACACAGACAAAGAGAAGAGCAGGAAAACACAGGAAAGCATCAGTTGCTTCTCACAGCACACCAACGACTAAAACGTGTTACTTTAACTGCAATTCAAAGAGATATCACAGTTTACCTGGCAATTTAGCCTGTCATTGACACACAGAGTGAATAAAGCACCATTTAAAGGTGCTATTTCACCTCAACTGCTGTGAGACATTAGGCTGCTTTTGATTTCACTAGTTGAGTTTCATGTCATCCTGTCACTGTCAAAGTCTAGTGTTTATAAAGTGTGTGAAAAAAGTGAAGCTCAACAGGTTTGAGCGCTGTTATTACTCATTATAAAAAAATAGTAGTTTTCATTTGAAAATATTTGCTTACTGCTTTCTCATCTAAGTTTTTACTGAGATGAGAAAGCAGTAAGCAGTTTGTCACATAGACTTTAACAGCAGCAAGTAATCATATGTGTACCAGCACCTCTGTGGTTTTAACTTGAGTTTCATTCCAGGGAAGACAGAGACTTCCTGAGGGGTGTCCAATGAAGTGAGATTGATTGGTGGGTGATATATGTTTAGCCTAAAGTCAGAGTTTTGATTGTCATGAAGGTGGTTCTCTTGCTCACAGGCTAGATAACTATGTGTAATTTCTGCTCCAACGTATATACACAGTTTGGGTTTAAAGGTGACTTTAACTGCCATATTTTTATTCATTCTAACAATAGAATAACAATAAAATAACAACAACTTGCTCTACAGAAAATATTTTATTCTCACAACCTGTTGAGCCTTGCTGACCCCACAAATTAAGCTCTTTTATAAAGTCACAGCCAAGCTGTGTGTGTGGGGGGACTTTTGCATTCAGTAGGCAATTCAGAAAATATATAATTGAACACATTTTTATGCTTGGTCATGATTTTGCTGCCAAGTCTGTTTGAAATTGCAAAGAATGAAAAAACATCGCTTTTGCATATTTGTCACATTTCAAGTCATCAAACAAATTTTAATATTGCACAAGTATAAGCAGCGTACATACAAAATGTTTTAAATGATTTCGTTTATTAGGGGGAAAAGTTATACAAGCCTAGCTGGACCTGATGTTTCACCTCTCGACCTCGTGATAGGGTGGGGCTAGGCTTCACAATGAGCTCACCCAAAACCCTGGCTGATTGTGACCCACACCCGTTTTCACACCTTGGCTCATGTGATTAGGTAGAGGATCAACAGGGGGTCCATGACCCTCTTGGGGGCACTCCTATAGGGCTTAAAATCTGGGACTCCACCAATTGCTCTTAGGGTTAGGAGGTGAAACGTCCTCGAGGTAACTTAAAGAAGTCCAGATGCTTTTCTTTCCAAACTCCATAGACGACGATGACCTGAATGGCTGAGAACCTTCACTCACTTTTGCAGTTCTTGCTAAGTTTAGGGGACAATTACTTTTTCACACAGGTTCAGGTAGTTTGGATAAGTTTTTAGATTTAATAGATGAAATCATAATTTCAAAAAAACTGTAACAAAAATTTGTGGTGGAATTTGTTTTTCGCTGCACGGTGGCTTCCTCCCACGGTCCAAAGACATGCAGTTAGTGGGGTTGGGTTAATTGGAGAATGTAATTGCCCATAGGTGCGAGTGGTTGTCTGTCTTTCTTTGTCAGCCCTGTATGTTTTTATGATAATGTCTCTGCACTCAGTCCACTGTATGAGTGCACTTAAAGCAGAACGCCTGTGTTAACAAAGCAAGATGACAAGTTAAGTTGTGACAGCCATTATTTCTGATTGGGGCTATGCTGAACTTTTCTACCCATTTTATTAAAATCTCACCAAGCACGCTTAATGCAGATGCCACCACACAACCTGATGACTCATCTCAGCGTTGAGGCCAACTGTAGCACAGATTGGTGTGAATCTGTTTTACATGACAACGAGTGAAACCCATTATTAAAATCCACTGTTACTTCTCACACCAGGGGAATATGACAGAAAATAAAAGGCTGTGAATCAGAAGGACTTGTCTTCAGGTTTGGAAGATACATGCAGGTACCCAAAAAAGACAAACTATTGACAGATGAGCTAAACCTGCAGAATTAAATGAGGTTTAGACTGTAAGCCTCAGCATTTCC